GCGGTCTGAGAGTCAATGGAGTCTTCGAATGTGCCGGTCTACGTGAGGAGATAAACTTTAACTGGAACATATGTCCCTCAATGGAGGGGGACAAACATCGATGGCCGGATGTAGAGAATTTAGCTGAGCTGATGAATCTCTGAGTTCTGTCTGTTTCTATGCCTATGTCCGCGTGAGCAACGCGATCCGAACCTTTCAGGCCTCATTATACAGTCTCTTCTGTACGTAAGTGTGATTTCAAGCCTGTTTGTTCAGTTAAAAAAGCATAAAATGAATACAAAAATTGATTACCTGTATCCATCTATCTATTTGCCTCCGCATGCATAATGATTGGTCTCTGTGTTTTGATGCTGAATGGGACTGCCCGGGTGTGTGTGTGTGTGTATATGTATGTGTCTTTATGATTGCTTGCCTTGTGAGGACAAAAAGTGGACTTTCAAAGCGTTTTTTGTCGAAATTCCTTCTTTCCAGATTCTCCAGCACGCACACTTGCTTTCTCCTCTTGTGTCATTCACTTGAAAATCTGTCATTTTTCACTTCATTGCCCTCAAAAATGAAATTAGCCCGTATCTCTCTCTCCCCTTTCACAATTACCTCAGTATGGATACTCACTCTTAGTCTCCCGCTCAACACACACACACACAACACACACACACACACACACAAAGACACAATTGCCAACACTCACACCAAATTCCATTTCTCACCTCTTCTATGCACTCAGGGGCGTGCTCCTTTCTCCCATACCAGCTGGTTGAGAAGGCAATATGTTAACTCTTGAGCTTGGCAATTGTTCTTGTGAGACCCGGACTTGAGCCTGCCCTTCTCTAAGCGCATGGATAAGTGTGTGCGTAGGGCTGCGTGTTTCACCACTCAACCGCCCATTCAGCCAGTCGCAATACAGCTTTTGCAATATTGACCGGACACTCGGCTACCCGGTCTGGTGCTTCATTGGGACTGGGAGTGGGGCGAAGGTGGGGGAGAAGGGCAGTTATTGCAGGGCTCAACAACGAATGGAGGCCGATAGATCCTTGTCTGAGTAACAGAAGGCCAGTCTCACCAGGTCTGATTGGCGTAGGCATGAAGAAAAGTGGAGAAAAAGATCTAAAGTTGGTCAAAGTGGTCGGGTCGGCAACCAAAATAAGCATGGAATCCCTGCAAAGCGAAATAATTTGCAAGAAAATCAGGTAAATCGAGTAATTTCTAGTCCACTTCTGAGATCGTAGACAGAAGTTACGCTCTCTAATAGTCAATCGGCCCAGAGTAATGCTATGCTAATTTTGTCTGGCGGCCGGCTTAAAACACTTCGCAACCACAATGCGGTTGCGAAGTGTTTTAAGCTCTCTTCTCTACAACCCTTCCTGACAATTTGTTTCGACTGCTACTATTATGGCACACTAGATACATATTTTCGTATTAGAGTAGTTTCGAGACTACCAGTAAATCAGTAATATGGAATATATTCACCCTATTTCGTCTAAGATGATGAAGGATTAGTAGTAGAATTTTCCCACAATGATATGAGTTGAGCTGACGTTTGCATTGAATTTCACATAGCCTTGCTCTGGATGAGAACAACTTTTGGGAAAGCAAGGCTATGTGAAATTCAATGGAAACGTCAGCTCAACTCAT